CAGTTAACATTATTGTATATGCCTGTCTGCCTTTTCCTGTTGCAATATTGCCACATATGGAATGCACAGTCTTGAATCAATAGTGAATCAATTATACTGTATTGTCATAGCTCTATTGGTCTTGTCCCAGTTGTACCACCAGAGGCCGCTCACATCCCACAGAATCTCTCTCTGGGAATCGGCTTGAGATTAAAAACCTTTGTTATATTAATGGCACAAATACGCTGCCTTTTTAGTTTTACCATTTTCCCCTCACAAGCTCAATCATCTTGCAATTAGGCAAACAGAACTGTCTTGCTGAAAACAATTATAAGGTATTAGCTAGTGCTATCGAGTTCAGAAATGCCTGTGAAGATTAGCTGAAAGCCAATGCTAAATGGAAGAGCTTTGGCTACAGAGTAAGTACAGTTGGAGTTTTTTGGGAATTTTATTTGGTTTGGCCCTGGACAGGCTATAGGAGAAGCCTGGCATTTTAACCACCTTTAGAAGACTGACAATAGTCGCAGTTTGTAAAGAATACATACCGATTACAGGTTATACTATAATATTCTTACCTATAATACCACACAGTTCTTGTTTTCAGAACAAGAATATTCCCAGGGTGTCAGGGAGTACAGTAGAGGAATGAAGCAACTATATAGATTCAGTTCCATGGCAAAAATAGGACACAGATAGAACTATGGTTCTTCTGAATATTATGTCTATGTTACTACCCCTCTCAATGGATAGGGACTGAAGAAAAGCCATCTAGCTGCTGTGCTCACCGATCCACAGTATAGAGTTGCATTGTGGAGAAGCAGTTCCTAAGCTCCTGTGGATGAATGGGATACATGTAATATATTCTCAGTTCTGTGAATATAAGCTTGAGATTTGTATCCTGACAACTTTTTGATAAATACAATTTATCAAAAAGCAACTGTACTTGCTTTATCTGATAATTATCTAATGATCATAAACAAACTAGAAAATTAAAACAGCTATACAATTGAGAAAAATAGATTTAGAACCACAAGTCAAAGCAAAGGAGAAAAAAATTGACTCTAACCACGTACAGCAGATAGCGAAGGCTCTTGAACAGATCTTTGCTCATATGTTGTTCATGCTGGACACTGATCAAACAAAAGGTATAAGCAAAATCCACCTCACCTGTCTGGAATCCTAAGCAAAAGAGAGGTAATAAATACTTTATGGAAATGTTTATAAAAAATAAGTCATGTAAAGGTCCATACACTCCTGTTTCAACTTACCCTGATCAATTTGAGCAAATGCTCTTTAGGAGTAGGATCTTCCACACAGCAGGGCAGAGAGAGCAAAGCATTAAAAGGAACCAGAATAAAACCAGTGACTAGAATCCATTAAGTTGGAGAGATATTTTGCAGGACATATTACTTTTTTCCAGATTAATCAAATGATCATCATAATTAATGAAATGATAATCATACTCCAAACTCTTTGATAATCAGTATTCATTATATTTTGTCTGGTTAATGGTTTAACCATATAGTACATCACGATGGCCGCATATTCAGGTGCAAGCCCATATTCACAAAGTTTCCATTTTTTTGCCAAATGGAACAATAATTATTTTGAAGATCCAAGGGAGTTAAAATTTAAAAAAAATTAATTTTAAGCAATAATTGAAAGTAAGCATCCATTCCTGAGCCTTGATCAATCTCAGTCCCACCTCAGTGCATAGAAGACATTCAAAACACCTTAGGGTATTCAAAGAATTGTCCTTAAAAATTTCATTTGCACTCTTTCTAGGGGTCCAAGTCTTGAAGAACATATAGCTATGAATCATGCAGAAGCTGGGTCACAGCTGTCATATATTACACCTTGGTGCCTGTTAGAATAAATTGTCTCCCTAGTGAATGGAAAAATCTCAAAATAACACTAGAGGTCCTCTTTGCATCTCTTACTCTTAAGTTGGTGAATGGGAAGCTGGGCCAAATTATCATGCAAAACTAGGTTCTGACAAAAGGGTACTAAATAAAAAACCTCTAAATATAATCTGGGAATTTATATTCATATACTTTTGATAAGCACATTTAAGTTTTCCTTTGATCTTATTAATTATACTAGTTTGTTTTTATATTAATTTATTAACTGTCTTGAATTTGTTTAGAATATATGATCAAAAAGTGGTTACATAAACAAAAAGCTTATTCAAGTGTTTTTATTGGCTGAAAGCCACTGCTAAATTATCATCACTTCTGAACTATTACTCTGATCTACATCTAGCCTGCATATTAATGTTGTCATGCTTTACCACTGGAAGCAGCTCCAAGGAGTGTCGTCAGAGCATTTCTACCAAAGTGTATACTGTATGACAAATCACCAGATAGAGGTCTCCATTCTAGCACAGTACACTACAAGTGGTGGCTGCTGTTGGCACGGAAACTGGCAACAGGCTACAACAAGGACATAAAGAAGGCTCCATCCAGGAGAAGCTTCAAACATTTGATAAAACAATCCATTGTAGCCATAACTGACAGCCAGAATACTACAGATTAAATAATGTGACACTTGAAAGACACTATACTTGTAGCTTCTGTTTTGGCTTTCCCTATTGAGCTAAACAGGTGATAAATGATCCTACTATTTTCAGTTAGATAAACCCTGGTTCACTATCCCCCCATAATCTTGCAAAATTACCCAATGGAGTCCTATAATTAATGTTTCTTATAATTAATGGTTTTTAGAATCTCTCCCCTCTCATACTTGGGTGATGTGTGAGTGTCTGTGTGTATTTGGGTAAACAGACAGATGCTTCAGTTCCCCTTAAGCATTTGTCTTTTCTGAATGATGGAATCTACCTGATATTTAAATGGGTTTTACTTTCTGCTTTCTGCTCTATTAGTCAGCTGTAAAATATTGCTTGATTGACCATGTTGGAACTGGAGTCATGAATCCTTACTATCCCTTGCTGGCAAACTTTTGGGGCTCACGGACAGCAAGATGTTGCTGTTCTTATGCTTCCTGGTGTGTAACAAGGCAGTACCCTGTAAATTGGAATTTACAGGCAAGCTGGCCAATCTGTTGCCCACCCCCCTTTGATTCTCACATGTCTCTAATCTCCCATGACTAAGCATACCAGTGCACACACTCTGACAATCCCTAACACAGCAGATGCAGTTTGGCAGGGGCATCTAACTGTGTGCTAATTAAAGGGCTGATGAAGAACAAAGCAAGCCTGCCTGTTCTTCACGAGAAGTGCTGATCCAAGCCAATTAAGGCTATATACCATAATATACATGGCACATGCCTGCTTTGGCTCTCAGTGATTGTACTAGGAGAAGAGCCAGACAACAATAGTAACTTATCTTTTCTTTTATATTGTATTATCCCGGTCTCCACTGTTAGCAAGAAGGAAAAGGAAGGGATGGATCCAACAAAAGCATTGGGAAGAGTCCCTTCAACTGGGGGGGGGGGAGGGGGGGGCTTTGAACAAGGTTGAGCTTCACCGC